TGTCAGAACTCTGAGATTAAAGACTTTTTTCAATTTCTTAATCTTAGAATTCTGAGAGGAAAAAAAGGCAGAAATATATGAAGGACCCAATCTGACATAAGTAGAAATAATAACAGAAATATATAAATATACCAATAATTAAATAAATACACTTAAAATGCACCAGTAAAATGAAAAAAAGAACTTTACCTCATCTTTTATAATTTAATTGACTTTCATATTTTTTCCAGCTTAGTTCCAACAAATTGTATATTTTAACACAAATTTATATTTTACCATGTTTTTAAAATATGTATACATATTTTCCCTTTTACTTGTACATTATCCTTCAGTTTGCTTCGTGGGAAACTAATTGAGAGGAACTGCGCAGGAAGGCAAGGGCCAGGCTACTTGTACATGCTTTTCTTTCTTAAATGCTTATATTTCCTTTTTAGAGTTTTTCCCCACAAGTATTATTTCCATGTGTTGCTTTTACATTTTTCAGTCTCCTTTTTTTACTTTACCCCATGCATTTTTGCCTCATAATGCAAATAAAGGGTTGCCCTTCATGGGTCATCTCCTCTGTTATTGGTCAATAGACATAAAGGAGCAGGATCCATATTGGATATTTAAAACTATATACAAAAACATTATTGCCTAAAAACTAAAAAGTGGGCCACAGAGCTTGTTGTCATCTTTTTCTGCTTATTTAGTAATTGTTTAAGTTTGCAGACATGGCTAACTGTTGATTAAAGTGGCAAACACCAACCAAATAACCTGTCTCCTTTTATCACTACATAAATGTTAATACGGGGGGTGGTGGGGGGTGTATTTAATTAGCCACCAATTGTGCAAGTTCTCCCACTTAACAAGACAAGAGGCATGCCATTGGCATCATAGTTAGACCTCAACTGTGAGAGACAAAATGAGAAAACATCACAAAAATCACATTGTCTGATTTTTAAAGAATTTATTTGCAAATTATAGTGGAAAATAAATATTTGGTCAAAAACGAACAAGCAAGATTTCTGGATCCCACAGATCTGTAACTTCCCTGTGGAGGCTGTGGATGGAGGCTCCTCTGTCCTCCACTCATTACCTGTAGTAATGGCACCTGTTTGAACTTATCAGTGTAAAAGGCACCTGTTCTCAACCTCAAACAGTCACACTCCAAACTCCACTATAGTGAAGACCAAAGAGCTGGGTAAGGACACCAGAAACAAACTGTAGACCTGCACCAGGCTGGGAAGACTGAATCTGCAATAGGCAAGCAGCTTGGTGTGAAGAAATCAACTGTGGGACCGATAATCAGAAAATGGAAGACATACAAGACCACTACTAATCTCCCTTCATCAGATGATCCACGTAAGGGCACCATTCTTTTGACAACAGGGGTCAAAATGATTCCAGAACCCAGAACCACACGGCGGGACCTACACCACCAGGGACTCAGATCCTGCAGGGCCAGACGTGTCCCCCTGGTTAAGCCAGTCCATATCCAGGCACGTCTGAAGTTTGCTAGAGAGCATTTGGATGTTCCAGAAGAGTATTGGGAGAATGTCATATGGTCAGACGAAACCAAAGTAGAACTATTTGGTAAAAACACAACTCGTCGTGTTTGGAGGAAAGTGAATGCGGAGTTGCATCCAAAGAACACCATACCAACTGTGAAGCATGGGGGTGGCAGCTTCATGCTTTGGGCTGTTTCTCTGCAAAGGGACCAGGACGACTGGTCCGTGTACATGAAAGAATGAATGGAGCCATGTATGGTGAGATTTTGAGAGCAAACCTCCTTCCATCAGCAAGGGCAATGAAGATGAAACGTGGCTGGGTCTTTCAG